CACATGCGCCCAACACACACGGGAATTTCCATGATCACGGATGATCGTTTTTTCCCACTTAATCCTCAGAATGACAGAGCAGAAGAGCCAGGGTTATTTTCTTTTTACCTCACTCAGGTGGAAAATGCCCTCCCGGAAAGCTGGTTAGCTTTAAATAACAAAAATCTCACAAGAAGGAAGAAACAAGGAAAGTTGTTCCTGATCCAACAAGTCGTTATCAGACAGCATTCCCAACATTAGCTGGACAATAAATAACCTGCTATCTCCTTTTAATCTGCAAATGCAAATTAGCACAAGGCTTTGAGTTGACGGAGGTTCCAGCAAAATTAAATCACGAAGATTTAAATGCAAACAAACTTTGAAACCAGCAGATTTTGTTTTGTCACGAGGCTTTTGGGAGCACAAATAACCTAAAACAGCTCACCACTCTTATTTTTCATTTTCATTACACTGATTTTGATTCATTAGTTCCCTGTTACTCACATAATTAACCTACTATAAACTAATTAGACCAAATGTAGCATCAAGAATTTGAATTTTAAATGAAGTTTAGATTGTGTTTTAATTTAAACCAGTTTTAAAAGTGACACATGTTCATTCTTACATTTAAACAAGAACAAATGTTAAAAATGAAAATCTTTGGACCTTAGTGGCCATTTTGGTGCTTTTATTTTTCTCCCAACACTAGCGAGTGACAGCTCAATCCATCAAGTATTTATTTTTGCCTTCCCTCTACACCGGATTTCATCCATCATTCAGGAAGGAAGATCTTTTTTTAAAGTATTTGACTGTGAAACTGGAACTCTTTGGGGATTTTAGAAAAACGCAGCTGTCAGCAGATTGTTGTTTGCACTAGTTTTGCACGATTGCTGAGCAGGGTTTTTAAGTGAAGCTTTTTCCTGATTAATCAACTAAAAATCTGTGTGCACACACATGTGCATGGATTTCACAAACGGTGCAACAAAAACACTTGTTTCTATGCTGAATCTGCAAATATACACCATCAGTTGGAACAGGCGTCTACTTAAGGCCACATCCTGCTTTAGAATGACACAGTAATGGAGGTATAATCCAGTTCAATGGACGTGTGAATGCCACTGGGTGGAACTGGTTGTAACACGGAGCGTGGGGTGCCGAACATCCTGTGATTGCGGGAGGATGTTTACAGGCAGCAGAACATCTCTGCAGGGACAGCAGGAGCTGATAAGAGCAGACAGTAATCTGGCATCAGGTGGGAAGGCAGCAGATGTTTAAACTGTATTTCTCATCCAGTGAAAAAAGGTGATGTCATCACTGGTGAAACGTTTACACCGCTAACCACCTGAGTGGAGCTCTCAGGTACTACAGATAACAGCGGGCCTCCCACAGTTTGCACAACTCTGTTGTTGGGTCCCAAACTCATGGTGAAGTGTTTTGATGCTTCTGCGGAGGTCGCTCTTTCAGCTCTGAGCTGCAATTAGCAAACTGTTGCGGAACAAGTTCTTTTAGTTATTCGTTTATTTGTTCTTTGTGCGTCTGATCCATCTGCTGCAACATTTGAGTTTAGATGTGACATTTAAACCAATACTGCATGGTTTGCATCATTAGAAAGCAGCATTTTTTGCTTCTGTATACATTTTTTTCTGTATTTTATTTTTTGCAAACACAAGAGTTGGTACAGTTGTGGCTGGGAACCCTAAAAATGTTGGATGACCTTTAAAATACCATCGAGCTCTAAACACAATCCATCTTTTGTTTTCAGAGTTTTATCATTTTAATGAGATCCCTGTGGTGCCGCCATGGAAACCGCAGACAAACCCTGTTGGCACCCGTACAGTTTGCACATGTAAAGCAGCAGTAGCTCAAGAGGTTGAGCAGGTTGTCTTGTAATCAGAAGTTTGTAGATTTGATCTCAGCTCCGGATAGAGAATTCTGCTGTTGTGTCCTTATGTCCCACCTCGCTTGCTGGTGGCGGTCGGAGGGACCGGTGGCGCCTGTGCTCATGCTTCACCTCTATCAGTGCAGCCCAGGGCAGCTGTGGCTACAATGTAGCATGCATTCACAAACATTCACACACTGATGGTGATGACACGCTGATGTCATCACCATCAGTGTGTGAATGTGTGTGTGAATGGATGAATGATGCTCTGTACTGTAAAGCACTTTGGAGTCCTCTGACTCTGAAAGGCGCTATACAAGTGCGGGTCATTTATCATCCATGGGGCTCAGCTATGCCTGCCGACTGGATTTTAAACTCTTTTCTCACCTGTAGTCCTATTTTAATCTGACTGGATGCAGATGTATTCAGATTTTTGTTTCCAAGCTAATTCCTTGCATTCAGCTGATAGCGGCCATAGAATGGGGTGATAACAGCCGAAGCTGGTGCGAAACAGGAAAGAAAAGAGAAATGCTGAAATGTGCTTGGAGTTGAAATGGGTGCATTTGGGCTGCTCTGACTGAATAAATGACCTACTTCTGTTTGTTTATCGAAGTCTATTTATTTCAAATGGCAGCGAAAAGCCATTCTGCACGTCTTCTCTAAACTGTCCCAGTTTTAAAATGAAAACACTTCTGCTGCAGGATTGTAATAATCTCCCTCATTCTGGTTACTTAATGGGCCATTCCCATCTGTACCTGGTCGGCCCTGCCTGGATAGCTCCAGTCGGCCCCAGCCTGGCCCGGTTGATTCCACACATCCTTGCTTAGGTATGCAAGGAATGCAGTCAGAGACATTTTCAGCTTCTAGGTAATCGTCATGATAATGAATGATAATGAATTGAGCATGCCCAGGGACGAAATTTTGATTTCAGAAGTGGGGGGGACACAGCAGGCTTGTGCGGATTTGGGGTGGGGGGTGTTATGTAAAGACCCCTTGACACGTCACGTGCCCATCTCAATAATTTTTCCATCCTCAATATATATAAAAGTTAAAAAATGTACAACTCTATTATTATTTTTATCTATTATCATTATTGAAGTGCAGTTTTGGCTGTTGACAATGGATAGGCCATTGTATTTATTGTTTTGGGTCTTTTTTTTATTGTTTTTGGTGCAACATTTTCTAACAGGGAGTGAGATTCCTTTTTTATTTAATTTTTGTTTGTTATTTTTATTCATTTAGAAGTTCTGGTTCTGTACATTTCAATGTTAAATGAAGGTTTATTTGTTGCATTTTAAAGGGTGTACTTGCATTATTATGATATATTAACATTATATTAGTGGTTATTTTGGTCTAGATAATGTTGACAATGATATCGTTTATCATCAACAATTTGTTGGACAAAATATCGTCCAGCAAAATTTGTTACTTTCCCAGGCCTAGTCAAAAGTATAAAAATTATTTATACATAAACGGTCCCTCCTGAGATCTGGCCGTTTGTTCATTTGCTGTGTTAGAGGACATGCTGAACTAATGTTTTACACATGATCATCACTCTAACATTTGAGTGTATAAAAACATATTAAATATGTTTTTTTCCCTTAAAAGTGTTTAAACAGTTGTTGCATTTCAACACACAAAAAATAAATGGAAAAAATAAGATAAATCTAATGAAAAGTGTACATCTTTGACATTAAGCTTAAAAAATCTGTTGACGACGATGATACTGTTCATTTTTCAGAGCTTTTTAATGTGAAAATATACATTGCAATAGATAAGTTTACAATAAAGTTAAATGATAAAAGTTTTGAAGTTACACTTCTACTACTACTACTACTAGTAATAATAATTATGATGATAATAGTAATAATAAAAAAAATAATAATTATAATAATACGAATAAATTGTGTCTGAGGAGTCAGTTATGTGGAGGAGATGAGTTTGTAAAAGTTAGTTTTGAGTATGTTTGTGAAGGAGGAGGTGAGTCTGAGCTTAATGCAGGGGTGTCACATGTTCCAACTTACGTTTTGACTTTGAAAGAAGTCTCTCATATCCACTTTTCGTTTTCTTGACATGCTGCCTCCTGGCTGTGCCTAACTACCAAAGACTCACAAATGAACACTTATTCAAATGTTATGTAATGGAAGCTGAGCTGAGCTCTGATATTACACAGCGTCTAGTTGACGATGTGACTCAATACCGGTGTTCCCTAGCGGCTCCAAACTAGCAAAACAATGTGAGCACGTTCTGACTGTTTACAACTTGAGTGACAGCAGCAACAGCCAATAATACGTTAGCAAGTATCAGCAGAGCCAATAGATTAGCTTTTGGGCGGGTCTAATAGTAAACCGGTTTCCGTTTCGGTCCTAGTGCTCAACCAAATCCATTTAATGGAGCGTAACATTGTTTTTGGACGGAAAAAAGTGCAGGGGACCAAAACTGCCTTTTGAAAAAGTGGGGGGGACATGTCCCACCCGTCCCCCCCCAAAATTACGTCCCAGAGCATGCCTTAAGCCTATGTGGGCCTATTCTACCCACCAATCAGAGGCTTGCTCTAATGGAAGGTGTGAATTTGCTGTCAGCAGTGGGTGTGTTGGCCCTGAATCAGACCCCCTCAGAAAGAGGGCTGAAAAACAGTCTCGTTGCACCCTGAAAAAAGGCAGGCCACCAAGATAGGTAAGCAAGCTATGCTATCCGGGCCGGGCCGACCAGGTACAGATGGGAATGGCCCATGAGATGCACGGATGGAACCTTGGACGAACAAATAAGACTAAATTGACTGACAGTGCAGCTACCTGAGTAAACTTTATTTTGTGTAGAAAATTTGCTCCTCCTGAGGGTTTTTTCCTGCCTCGTCGGCTCTGCAGCAGCATTGAAACCCCTCCAGCTCTACTTTAATGGACTCTCTGCTTTCTGCAACTAGTATAGATGTAAACAAAGTCACAATTTATGGCTTCTGTCAAAATTCAGAGCGCATAGGATTAGTGGGTTACTGAACTCATAGCAGCTTCTGTTTTGGAGGATCCGATTTCTGCTTCAAGTTCATCTTAACGCTGGCCTAAAAACTATTTTGCAAATTAAAGAATTATTGTTTAAGCAGAAGTCTTATCAGAGTTTTCAGTTGTTTTTCCTTCTGTTTCAGATCCGAAACTGGTGAATTGTTATCAGATCCCAACATGGCTGACAGGAAGTGGGGGAGATTTGGATGGAGTCGGATGGCGGCTTTGATGCTGTTATGTAATTTAACCAGGGTAAGAAGACAGGTTCTTTGTGGTTTTCTCTAAATGGTTATTTTTTATTCATGTCTTAATTAATTATGATGTCAATACACTAGAACAGTGTAACAAATACACATTTGAATAAAAATGAAAAAAAGCTTCAGGGATGAGGTCCTGGCTGAAGTGAAGGACTCTTTCCCTAGGTATCTCAAGGTCTGGTTCACAAGTGAGGGAAAGATGGAGAAGGAGATTGATAAGCAGCTTGGTGCTGCGTCTGCAGTGATGCGGGTGTTGTACCGATCTGTCGTGGAGAAGAGATAGTTGAGCCAGAAGGCAGAGCTGTTGATTTACCGGTCCATCTACGTTCCAACCTTCACCAATGGTCACGAGCTTTGGGCAGTTACCAGAAGAACGAGATCACAGCTACAAATGAATTTTCCCCACTGGGTGGCTGGGCTCTCCTTTAGAGATAAGGCGAGAAGCTCGGCCATTCGGGAGGGGCTCGGAGTAGACCCACTGCTCCTCCATGTCGACAGGAGCCAGTTGAGGTTGCTCGGACATCTGTTTAGGATGCCTCCTGGACACAAGGGAAAACCCAGGACACACTGGGGACTATGTCTCTCAGCGGGCCAGGGAATGCCTTAGGTTTCCCCCGGAGAAGCTGGCCCAAGTGGCTGGGCATTGGGAAGTCTGGGCCTCTATAGGCTGCTGCCCCCGCGGCCTGACCCTGGATAAATGGACAATAAAAGATGAATGAATAACATTTTAAGTGATTTATTGGAATTATTCATAATTCATAATTTTCCAAATTTAAGTTACATTCCAAAGTTAATTTCCATCCATCCTTTTCAGCTGCTTATCCAGCATTTTATTTTCAATAGCAAAATATAGGTAACTGTCCAGAGTTGTAATTATGGTTATAATGCATAATTAAAAAAAATCTTTTTATGAAAGCATTTGTCATTTTAAAAAATTTTTGCTTTTAATTTTTGTTTTGTTTTCACTTCTTGATATATTTTTCTTTACTCACGTTTTCTGCAGTTCTAGGAAATGAATGCTCATTTTTACTTCTTTAAAAAAAATCAAATTCATTGAATGTATGGATTTTTTTTCTCCATCTCAACATCCTTGCAGTTTCTAGTGAAAGCCAGCATGGAGGTAAATGAAAGCCAGCAGCAGCATCCTACCAACGTCTACCATGACATCGGAGTCACCAGGAACAAGATCGTTACGGCGCAGTTTGAGTGTTATCAGAAGATAATGAAGGACAACACACACAGCAGACAAGGTAGCCAGAATTAGGTTTATCTTTCTGCTTAAAATATTCTAAAACAAACCGTTAAACAGATTTTTATTTGTGTTTTTGTATCCAATTCAAAAACAAATAACACAAATTTAGGGGTGGGAATTGAATGTGTTAATTGCGATTAATTTGAAAAAAAAAACACTTTGAACCCAAAACAAAAATAAACTACAATTAAATTAATCATGACAAACTGCTTTACATGACGAAAAGAAAGAAATATATATTTTTTTACTATTATGTTTTCTAGTGGGTAGAAAGCAGGCAGGCATTATCTATTTATTTGAACTTTATTACAGCAGGAGGAACACGCACACACAGCATTTATCCTGTAACCCTCAGCAGAACTTCCCCTGAACTCTACGCTACACCTCTAATTATATATTAGCAGTGCTCTGCTGCCACCTAGTGTTCAGTTCAGTACACATCCCAGTGAATCCCACAATGGCTACCTTTATGAGACCAAAGTAATCAAACAGACTTTGTGGTTATGGAAATATACTCACGTAGGTGATTGTATATTATCTGTGTCTCACTAATATTAATGTGGATTCAAAAATCAGCTTGGGCGCAAATTGTCTTGAATGATTAAAATGTGATTATTCAAGATGAATTAATTACAAAAGCCTCTGAATAATTAAATTGCTTTTTCATCTTTTGTTTTTTTAATTTTATTTGACTATGGAAAGAATGAATGATACACAGATTTTAAACCCATACTTGATACAGTTTAGTGTCATGAGCAGAGATAAAATAATGTTCTTACAACACTCCTCAGAGCCCATGTGCAATCGGACCTGGGATGGCTGGCTGTGCTGGGATGACACTAAAGCAGGAGTCACGTCTGAACAGCACTGCCCCGACTACTTCCAGGATTTTGATCCTTCAGGTGAAATCTGAAACATGTTCTTGTATTTTATAAATGTCAGGCCGCCTCTCCTTAACTCAAAGTTCTCCACAGAAGATCTCAACTCCGGTTTTTTAAACTGACCATAAAAACGAGTAACATAAACAGGCATAAAGGTACATTTTATTATACATGTGATTATTTGGAGTGTGCTTCTACCAGGAGGAACTGAAAGTGCTATGTTTTGCAGCTGGTGGAGATTGTGAACCACTGTGTAGGGAATTGTATGGTTGTATAAAGGCTTACTACTTAAATCTGCTCAAGTTTATTTAAACTTTTGAAGATTTGACATAACTTATCATAGAATTTTTACTTATTTTTTGTATTTTTCCTTCAGAAATGGTGACAAAGATCTGCAGCGATGGCGGTCAGTGGTTTCAGCATCCTGAGAGCAACCGGACGTGGACCAACTACACTCGCTGCAATGAGCACACCAATGAAGGCATGATGGTGGGTCCATTTATGAAGCTGCCATTAATCCTCGTGTAGGTTCTGATGAAAGGATTTACAAATTTCATTACTAGAAATGATATATAAAAAACTAATTTTTATTTTTTATGAAACAAATATTATAAATAAACCCTCCAGAAATTTAAGCTTTAAATGAAACAAAATTGCACAAATGTGCTGCAGAGTTTAGTTGCATCCCAACATGAGGAATTTGTCACGCGATCCGGTAGTTAACATCCACTTCTTGTTTCCTCCTAGACGGCTATGAATCTTTTCTACTTGGCTCTTATCGGACACGGACTCTCACTCATCTCCCTTTTCATCTCCCTCGCTATTTTCTTTCATTTCAAGTGAGTTCATCTCAGCCTCAGTCTTTATTTTAAGAAAGTTCAGCTAAAGTGAGTGAAATGTCTCATGTTTCCTCCTGCAGAAGTTTGAGTTGCCAGAGGATCACCCTTCACAAAAACCTCTTCTTCTCATTTGTCCTGAACTCTGTGATCACCATCATCTGGCTGACGGCGGTGGCGAACAACCAGGAGCTGGTGCAGAGGAATCCAGTTAGTTTATTTAATTTTATCTCTGTTTTTCTTTTATTTCCTTCTAGTTCAGTTTGCAGAGTTGCTTTACTCGTGCTGGCTGTTTGAGCAAATGGAAATTAAAATAAATTTGCTGTAAAACTGCTGCAAATAAAAAATGTTATTTTCTTAACTCAATTACTTGAATGAACATGGATTTTCCCCTCATAAATATAAACTTTTTATCTAAATTTGTCACAATCTGCAGTTGAAAAGACACAAAAGGCCAAAGGTCTTTGACCAAATGCTCCTTTCTTGATTATAAAATTTTATTTTGTCGGTTTTTTCCACAAATAAAAGAAAAACAAACAATCAAAACACATGAAATGGGTTTATAGCAGGGGTGTCCAGATTTTAAGATGAGAGCCACAACCATCAAGTTATTCCCCACCAAGGGGCAATCTCCTGTCCAAATTGAAGCCAACAAGAAGCAACAAAAATCTGCAGTTCCTCCATCATCCACTAGGGTCTGGCTCCAGAAAGGAGCAAGTTCCCATTGACTTCCATGTTTAAAATGTCAAGTTCACAGCAGAAATGAACTTATAGCCTGGTTCAAAAACATTTTGGATTTAATAGATCTAGGTTACCATCATGGCCACTCTTTTGTTTAGGTGCAATTAGCTTGAAATTATGAATTATTAGGGGTGGGTCCATTTGAGTGGCAGGTAGCAGATGAGCTGTCAGCGAAAACATTGATGGTTTGCCTCCTTCTTTCTCCACTCACAGAGGTTTTCTGGCTAAAAAACACTTGCCAACCTCAGTTAGCTTTGGTTAGCTCACTTAGCTCGTGGCTACATTGTCTCAGAGTTTGTTGGGCGTCAATCATTGGCCCACACCCTCACAGCCCTGCTCTCAGCTCTGTTTTTGTATTTTTTGGGAGTCACGAGATGTATCACGCAGCCAAGATGGGTGGTGGAACCTGCCCACTGGGCTTCAAATCAGCTCTTCAGAAATCTACAGGTGATGACATAGGGGGTTCGTCCAAATTTTCTACTGTCACCGGTCCCCAAGTTCCACAAAAGTTGGAGTTTTTAAAAATAAAAACATGTAAAACTTAATATTTTTAAACTTTTTACTCCTCAAAATTGGTCCAGAAAAGGCATATTAAGGAAAAGTTGAACATAAAAATGTGCAAAACAGCCTGCCAAAGACACAAAATCATGGTTCCAGAAAAGCTGCAAAATAGATCACTCAAATGACCGAAAATGGTCCCCGGGCCATACTTTGGACACACCTGGTTTATAGACTAAATATTTTTTCTTAACTAACTGTATTAAAGTGAAAAATTCAGTATTTCTCTAGATTATTTTTAGCTCTATACCAAAGTTAGTTCCAAGTTTGCTAAACAAACTTTACTGTTTTTCTCCTTCAGATGAGCTGTAAAGTGTCCATGTTTCTGCATCTCTACCTGTTTGGGTGTAACTACTTCTGGATGCTCTGTGAGGGCATCTATCTGCACACGCTGATCGTGGTGGCCGTGTTTGCTGAGAAGCAACACCTGATGTGGTATTACCTTCTGGGCTGGGGTAAGTTCAGGACTTTTGTGCCTCATCATTAAATGAACCGGCTACAGAGACAGGTTTTTATGTTCGCTCCTGTTTTAATTCCTTCAGGCTTCCCTCTCATTCCTGCCTCCATCCACGCCATTGCTCGAGGTTACTACTATGACGACAAGTAAGCAGCTAGCATAGGGGTGCCCAATCCCGGTCCTGGAGGGCCGGTATCCAGCACGTTTTAGTGGTGTATCTGCTCCAACACACTTGAGTCAGTGTTTGAGTAACCTGTGCAGCAGCTCGTCAGGCTCTGCAGAAGTCTAATAATTACCTAGTGATTGAAATCAGGTGCGTTGGAACAGGGTTGAAACTAAAACATGCTGGATACCGGCCCTCCAGGACTGGGATAGGTCACCCCTGAACTAGCAGAAATTAATCTGTTAGAGATCAGAGCTCAAGAACCTGATATTGCTGCATAAACATCCTTATCTGTGTTCCTCTGCAGCTGCTGGATTAGCTCCAAAACATCGCTGCTCTACATCATCCATGGTCCCATCTGTGCTGCTCTCTTGGTAAGGAGGCCCATGGCAATGATTTCACAATGAGCAGAAGAAGCCTGTGTGTGCGTGCGTGTGTGTGTGTGTGGACACGAATCCAGACCATGTTTAATTGTGTTTGCTTTGTAAAATCGATGCATTTGGTCCTCCGAGGATCCACCCTGAGGTCCCCCACACCCGTGCCGTTTTCCTGGAATTCACCAAATCAGCTTCAGAGAAAACTGGTCCCTCAGCTCTGAGTCAGCACGATGAGTTTAGTTTCATAAGATGTAGTAATGTAAAATGAAGTAATGAGAGGTGCCGACTTTTTAAGTTAGCTTGATATTTAATCGATTAGAATTGTTAGAGGAATTTTCTGCTCCATGCTGAGGAGACTTAACTCTTTAATGATGATGGGATGGACCAGATTTGGTCGGTTGTGCTGAAGAACGAGAGGAGTCACAGTGTAATGCTCCTCATTTACTCTAACTTCAGATCTTGGTATTTGAATTCTGACCAAAGGAAGCCACCAGTCAGCTTCGTCATTCTGGGTGAGCTGAGATTAGAGCCGCTGCTCCTCCACATCTGTAAGGAGGTAGCTTGGACTTTCCTTTACTGTATTAATCTGGAATAAAAACAGCATACCAGCTATTACCTAACAGTTGCTTTAGCACAGGAGAGTCCAAGTTGGCTCTCGAGGTGGCAGTGGCACCCTGAAAGTCCCCCAGGACCGCCCCTGACCTTGGGATCCTCCAGGAGGAGGTTAAGAGAGGCTGGGGAGAAGAATGCAGGTGTTCCTTGTATGACCCAATTTTGGATGGAGCGTCGGAATGAAACATTCTTGTGGCAGATTGTAAAAAAACTCCAGAGACTGGATCCCTACTTGGAGCTGATTAATGGGATTCACCTCTCAGATGGGATCTCTGACCTGGACTCATTTAGTGCCAACTGCCCAACTTTGGTTATCAAACAGGAAGGTTGGTTGTCTTTCCCAAAAGGATCTCTCCGTGGCTCCATGGCTGCAGGCTGAATCCTGCACAACATGCACATGTCAAGATATTAAGCTAAATCCTTGTTTTCCTTTCTCCCTCAGGTGAATTTGTTCTTTTTATTGAACATCGTGCGAGTTCTCATCACCAAGCTGAAGGTGACCCATCAAGCAGAGTCCAGCCTCTACATGAAGGCGGTCCGGGCCACCCTCATCCTGGTGCCACTTTTGGGAATTCAGTATGTGCTGCTTCCCTACAAGCCTGGAGGACGTGTCTCTTCAGAGATTTACGACTATATCATGCACATACTGATGCATTATCAAGTATGAAAGCATTATTGTTTCTTGAAATTGTTTTTTAAATCTTTACCTTCTTTTCCATTTAAAAATGGCTTCCTGTCACTTCTCTACACGCATTTTATTGAGAAAACCCATTTATTAGCATTTCCCTTATTTTCAAAGTATTTATTATTGTTTTCTGAACCTCTTTTACTCGCAATTTTTGTTTTAAACCAAGCATTTTTGTAGTCCAAGAGGAGACGATGTTATTGTGATGTTTCAGTTAAGATCAGCAGGAAGGAAGGCATGAATTATCCGAGCTGAGGGGGGTTGAAACCAAATGGATGTTGATGAGCTGTTATCTAATTATCCCAAGTTTCCCTGTGCAGGGAAAAACACGTCTTGAGCAACAGGCTCTGAACACAAGATCATTTCAGCTCCTGAATTTTTTCTTGGGACTTTAGAGCTCAGATATCTTATTTGTGATCAACTCTGCTTATTTTTTTTCTCATTAAACTCCAGGGTCTGCTTGTGGCAACCATCTTCTGCTTTTTCAATGGAGAAGTAAGTCCTTGACTTCTATTTAAAGACCTACATGCTTTCTCTTTCTTACCAGGAACAGTTTTACCTTCCATTCTTCCTTAAAAATGCAACAAAGCCCATTAAAGCTTGTAAAAGGTGAGGTTGCGTGGAGTCGCTGTGAGGAGTCGGCTAACCCTAACCCTGAGACATACAGCAGTCAGAATCAGGAACAAACTACTACTCTATTGGAAAAAGATGCATTTCAAACAGATTCCCACTTTCTAAAGCAATTATGCTCACAGAACATGGTAAGACTATCACTTTAATTTCTAAAAAAAATTACACAAAAATCCTGAAAACTCTGGCTTGTAGCTTTAATGTAGGAAAAAAAACTGTTTCTTTGAAATCCTATTACCCCACTTAACCCTAAACCCCCCAAACAGCAAAGAAATCATAATTTAACAATTTCAAATACTGAAATTGAAAGTGTCTGAAACTAAATTTTTTGGTGTTGTGTTGTCGTCGTCGTCTACCTCCGCTTATCCGGGTCCGGGTCGTGGGGGCAGCATCCCAACTAGGGAGCTCCAGACCGTCCTCTTCCCGGCCTTCTCCACCAGCTCCTCCGGCAGGACCCCAAGGCGTTCCCGGACCAGATTGGAGATGTAACCTCTCCAATGTGTCCTGGGTCGACCCGGGGGCCTCCTGCCGGCAGGACATGCCCGAAACACCTCCCCGGGGAGGCGTCCAGGAGGCATCCTGACCAGATGCCCAAACCACCTTTACTGGCTCCTTTCGATCCTCTACTTTGAGTCCCTTCCGAATGTCGGAGCTTCTCACCCTATCTCTAAGGCTGAGCCCGGCCACCCTACGGAGGAAACTCATTTCGGCCGCTTGTATCCGCGATCTTGTTCTTTCGGTCATTACCAAAAGCTCATGACCATAGGTGAGGATTGGGACGTAGATCGAGAGCCTGGCTTTCTGGCTCAGCATCCGCATCACTGCAGACGCCGAACCAATCCACCTGTCGATCTCCCGATCCCTCCTACCCTCACTCGTGAACAAGACCCCGAGATACTTAAACTCCTCCACTTGAGGTAGGACCTCTCCCCCTACCCGGGGATAATTTTATCTTGGAAACATTATTTAAATTATGTTAAAGGGAAAAATCACAAAACCTGTCTATAAAGTAAAAGACTTGTTAAACTCTAAGGCTTTACATTTATTATGTGGCTCACTAACTCAGCCTTACATGTCATGATGTATAGAAATATGGGGTTCAACATTTAAGCACATAAATGAAATAAAAACTACTAAAAAAAGCAATTTGACTTCTAAATAAGTACTTATTATGCTCATACGGATCGTTGTTTTTACAATCACATTATGAAAACTGAGGATCTGTACTATTATAAAATTATGAAAATTACATTTAGAGCTAAATTAATGTCTCTCCCTGAGAAAGTCCCAAGGTTTTTTGCAAAGAGGGAGAGTAATTATGATTTAAGAGGTGTATGTATGTTTATAGAAAGGTACTAAAAGGAGATGCATCTCTATAATGGGAGTTAAATTCTGGAGTGAGGTTAAAATAGATTTTAAATTAGCATCTACGCGTTCGTTTTTAAAATACATATCAGTAAAAATATTTTTGATTACTATTAATTTGAAGATGGTCGATGGTGTTTATAAATGTTGTTATCGTCACCGAGGGAATAAAAAAAAAGATTAAGTAAGTAGGTTAGGCAATATTATAAACTTTTGCTTCTGCCAAACCTGTTCAGTCATGAAATGTTCCAAATTTAATGTGATTGTATGGAAAATGTGTAGATACTAATATAGATACGATATGAATATTCATATTTGTGGAGGTACGTATGTGTTATATGTATATGTTACTGTCTACATGAATTATTTTTGATGATGATGGGTGAATTAAATTGATCATTCGTTCATTCATGACTGAGACATTAGACTGTGATTAAGTCTAGATTTCCAACCCGATTCACATTCATTTACTGCAGGTTCGATGCAGTCTTCACAGAATGACTCTGAACAGCCCTTCTTCAAAATCCTCGCCCTCAATATCTAATCTAGCTTCTCTCATTAGGTCCAAGCAGTTCTGAGGCGACACTGGAACCAGCATCACATCCAGTTTGGCAGCAGCATAGGAAACCATTCGGACGCCATGCGCTCGGCCTCCTACACGGCGTCCTCCTTCACTGAGGTGCAGGGCTGCTACACCATCGACGGTCAATCAGAACACATGAACGGGAAGAGCTGCCACGACACGGACGTCTCCATCCTAAAACCAGAAAGTCCCTTCGCCTGACAGCTTTCATTTTTTTTAAACTCAGTCCATCCTTTTAACATCCTGAGACCTGCAGCGTGTTCCGTGGAAACAAGGGAAGCTGAGGAAATATGTAGGGAAGAGGATTTGGATGGAAACATTTCTGTATCAGCCTCCTGCGAGGTGAGCTCCCAGCAGCCGGACTGGGACCAGCTTGGATTATCCGAACACGGTTGCAATCTTTCTTCCTCACAGAAGCTTTGAGCTAAAGAACCAGTGACTGTTTGTTCTTTATTCATCACACTGTGCACAAAAACCTTTTGGTTACACTAAGTTCTTACGAAGCGGTTTGTGCCATCTTTACCTTCTGGCTTCATCACAAATAATAAAAATGGGACAAAAAAACATGTAAATCATAATATATTACAGCACATCATTTATCATTTTACACTTGATTTATCTCAACACATTCTAGTTTATCAAAAGATGACAGATTCAGTACCATTCAGTATTTATTAAAGATGATTTAATGCTTTTTTTTTTTGGAGGAAAACTGTGTCAGCTTAACATGAAATTTCAGAGCATCTTGTTTACCATTCATGTTTTAAATGCAGATGATCATCATTTCTAACCAAAACGCACCCTTTAAATCATAGTAGGTTTTGATCTCCGTCAGGGGATTTGTTTTAGTCAGAGACGTTACACATGCTGCAGAATCTCATTTACAAATGAATGTAAAGTCCATTCCTGATCGACGGATTTGAGCATGGCTGATGGTGAGACCGTAAAATTCACTGATGAAAATCTGGTTTCCATTATGCAAAAATCTGCGGTTCGTCGACATATTATTGAAATTATTTGGATTTGTTTCATTGATTGGAATTAGGAGCTGATCCCCAAGTGACGACTAACATTAATATAAATTCGGCATTAGAGAAATAAAGATAAAAAGCAGAAAAACTGCAGAATAAGTCAATATTTTAACGGTAAAATATCATTCCATTTTAATTTCATGAAAGAGACATTTTAATTTGAAAATCAGGCAAATGAAGTCTAATTAGTTTCTTTATGAAAAAATCTCATTAAAGTTGCTGGTATTTAGTTGGATAGTAAAACTTCTTAATGTCCAGTTTCATTGCATTTTTATTTAACACTTAAAATACAAGACATAGGCTGAAATTGGTGGAAAAAATAGAAAAATAAAATGCTATTTGATTGAAAAAGATCTAGAAGCAACATTTTAAAAGATTCCACAGTGCCAAAGAGATGGATTAACATTACATGAGATGGATTACATTATTACATGAACAACATGTAATAATCTTAATTAAAGAGTATCAATATGAGACAACATTCTCACTCTCTCTGCACTGTAAACAAAATCTTTTTGTCTCAATCAGCTGATCAAACGTAAACAAAACAATCCTTTCTTCATCAGATATGAACGTTGTCACTTAGCTCTTCTGCGTCCTGGTTTTACATCCATCTCATCCGTAATGCTGGGAACATGAATCAGATGTAAGATGTAAATAATGTTTTTGTACATGTGAGAATACGAGTGCATGATTTATATATTTATGAGAAGCATCCAGCCTCTGCGTTGTTGTGCTGTAGGCCAACGTTGGAGGAGGCGCTGCTTCTGCATCCGTGTGACTTTCTGACCTGTCATCACCCCCGTTAGGGCCTGTCACCTCTCCATTGTGCCTGCGTTAGAAAACATGAGGTTGATAAACTCGATTTGTGGTCCAGAGAAATCATCCTTCAACAAAATGTCACTGACGTCGTTGCTGGCTGTTTGTCTTTTGAATGTCTCCCGTTTCAGTCTTTAATATGACTGTGATGACTAACGGCGCTTCGACAGGAAGTGCTACTTCCAAAATGATCTGTGAGTTTTATTATATCTGAATTTTAATTTCTCTTTTTGAACATGAGAAACGTTTCTCTTCGATTCTTTGCGAGGCCTTTTGTGACGCATCATCATTTATGAGTAAACTCATGCAGACTGTGGTTGTGTAAACTCTTGTGTATCTTTCATTTTGCATATTTATGTCTAATAAATTTTCATTTTACTCTCCAAAGAGTGTGTGAAGGCTGCTGCGACACTTTGGTTGAAAAGTTGTGAAGAATGACAGAAACCTGGAGGATAGTGTGTCTAGTAATATGTTTGTACTGTACTTTAGCTAACTCCTGCTCTTTGAATGGTGATGGATCTGCTCTCTGGATGTCAAAAACATATAGAAATATTGACACGTCTTTTTTATTATGTAAATGTACTACAAAATGTGTGTTTCTGCATACTAATACAGTATAGCACATCACAAGGACTTGTGTTTTTACTCATTTGACTGAAAAGTCACTTTAAGTAATAGAAAAACCATAAAACTCATTTCTGATTTGTGAATTTAGGTGAGATTTTTATATTTGACAAGTAAAATCACACTAATTATTGTATATATTTTTATCCTAATTCATATTTTTCAATGTGGGAAGGTTCACACTTTTTAAATTACCTCAATTCAGAAAAAAATAAAAAAATTTTGATAGATGAGCTAACGGCTAGTCGTGTTACAAAAAGAGGATTTTTGCCATCATAACAGAAATCAAAACCTTGAAGTTCATGCAACTATTTTAACAGTTGGAGTTGAGTCGATCAGCAGGGTGTTCTCACACCTGTATTTGGTTTCTCAGGTCTGCATCAGTTCACAGTTTTGTTGATTTCTAAAACTTTCCTGATGTGTGGTTTCTCCTTTGAATGTTGCAGGGGCGGGGCTACCAGGAGTACTGGGCTGCTTCACAATACCCAAGGATGCTAGTAAGTTCTTGTGTACTTGACAAGTATGTTCAAGGACACCAGAAAGTCTGTTCTGCTGAGTATGGGAGGACGAGGATGGCATCTGGAACAGAGCTGTGCTCCGTTGCGTTATTTGCCATGGTTAAAACACAATCTGATAAATAAATAAATAAAAATCTAGTTTGTCCCTTAAATAACAAAAAAAACAATAAATACATATTTGTAAAATATTTGGTTGACTTTTGGTCAAAATTGATAAAATATCAGCATTTCCCACTGTTAAATGAAGATAAAAGCATCTTTTTCATCAAACAGTGCTATTTCAGGCAACATTGCTTTTATTTTGATTGTGGGTAAGCTAACTTCACGCTCGGCTGCGAAAAGCTCCAGAGAGAGCCGGAGATCACGTTCTGATGAATCCAACAGGACCACATCATCTGCTGATTCTCATCTGGGATGGAATGGAGCCAGTTAAGGTGGCTCGGGCATCTGGTTAGGATGCCTCCTGGACGCCTCCCTGGTGAGGTTTTTTGGGCACGTCTCACTGGGAAGAGAACTGAAGAAAGACCCAGGACACAAGACAAAATGGATGGATGGGTTAGCTAATTAACATTTCGAGGAATCGTGAAGAGCCTGAGAAAAAAAAAACACTAAATACATACAGTAAATTTTACAGGTTACACACACTTCTTTACAATGATGGACAACTTTAGATTTCTTAATTTGTCTTTCTGATATAAAACACAACAGTTATTAAATTGTCTTTTGCAGTTCTGCTGCAAGTCCATTGATGCATCCTCAATACAATGGGCGGAGCAAGAACATTTTCGAAAACTTTGAGTGAACTTGTCATGATACGTATTAAGGATTGAATCAGTCCTTGGGCCATCGTTGACGTTTCACAAGAATACGGGTACACAAGTTCAGATGAGTATGCATGCTGTGAAACGACCGTGAGCTACTGCAGTCCAACCCCCTTACCGGTGCCATTTATCAACTATTTGAACTCTTCAGTGTTTTTATGAGTCTAAGCTGATAAAATATCAATCAGGTAACAGATCTTATTGATTATCTATCTGAGCCATCGCTTCATTTTCAGCTAGCTAAGCGCTACTCATTAGCTACTAATGTTTGTGTGCCCTCCCAATTCTCAGAATGCAACACAAACCTGGCTACAGGAGAGAGTTTGGCTCAATCTAGCGACGTACACATGGTGGTTGTCAGTGTTGTGCGAACGCGTTCATTGAACGATCGTTTGTGAATTTGTTTGATTTTTTCGTGAACGGGAACTGAACTCGTTCGTATTTTGCCTGACGAACGTAAAAGTGAGTGCGTTCGCCCTGGCATTCTTTCGCCGTTCTAGCTCCAGATCTCCATTAAGCTTTTCTGGAGCTAAAGCCTAGCTAAAACATCCTGTTAACCATAGAGTTTATAAAAAGTAGAACCTGCAAATATGGCCAAACATAGGCAGCAAGTGGTTGGTGCAGCGTCTACTCTTCTATGTCTATGCAGTGTGGAGGACGGAAGTCATGGAGTCGCACCACTCATACGTCATCAAATCGCGAAGCATGGAGGAAAATTCCAACGGATACAGCGGAGGTAGCAATACGTTTTGCATTAATGGTTAATGCAGGACGTGTGTATGGCCACTTAAGAGTTATTTAAAAAGGTTAGAGATGATTCAGGTGGGAAACATCTTACACTTTTGTGCAAACTTTGCCCACCGGGTCTCAAGAAGCAACTACCTCAGCCTGCTTCCTAAGATTGTCTAATAATTTCCCATAAAAAAAAACTGTTCAAACAATGTTTTCCTCAAGTTATTGAGAATATACTGTAGGGTAAAAACTGCAGCTGAGTATGAGTGTGGGTGCCAACTATTGGAAAATTATTTCATGAGTTAAATATATATATATATATATATATATATATATATATATATATATATATATATATATATATAATTTTTTTATATAAGAACTTTAAACTATCAGTAGTTTGTTTTTGGAACAGTGAACTTAGTTCAAAATTTTTTTTAATTATGAACTAAGAAATGAACTAGTTCGTTTGAAAATGTATGAACTAAACTTTGAGCTAGGTCGTTTTTTAACCCTCCCACTGTCCTAATGGGTGACCCCGCGAGGAAAGTTGACCATTGAGCAGGGCTGATGGTTTATCCCTTGAGGTCCACGTGGCAGGGGTGAGGTGGTGCTCACTCATCACCCCTGCCATGTGGACCTCAAGGGCTAAACGGACTTTCCTAACTGGTGGTTGTGTTGGGTAGAGGTCAGAACACATTCTCACTTAAAACAAACAAAACTCAACTATTTAACTATTTTCTCCACTGCACTGTGTTGCGTGAACTACATTCTGCACATTGTTTGCAAGGTTTTTAAAATCCCGTCCTACTGACACAAGTAGAAACCCATCCTAGTGACACATCTCTTTTCTTTTATCTGTGACAAAGAATCTCACTTTCGCAAATAAAGTAAAGCAGCTTTTTACAGTAGCTTTTCCTCTCCCAGCAGGAATGCGTTCATAATGTCGTCTGAAATCTGCTCTCTAATGAGTTCAAAGGTTCATGTATACCACCATCTACCTGTACAGTGAAACAAAAGCATTCCACCAGCAGATCGGCGCTGTTAAAGCTCCCTGCTGCTCCCGTTTAAGGCCCTACAGTAACTCGAGATGACATGCACAATTTCTTACCCTGCCTTTCAGCCGGCAGAGAGACTCAAAGTGTCATCCTGGCAAAATCACCACAAGCGCGTTTGTTTTTCTCAGTGTTGACTACAGTGGAGGAACACTTTTGCTGTTCCTCTTCCTATGTGACCTGAATAGGTGAGTCTGCACTCTGCAGACCGGTAAACAGTGAGGGGCAGTTGCTTTAGGGTGTTGCCACCTGCACTTAGAGTCAAACGTAGCCTTATTGTTGGAGCGTTCTCACATGGTCTGTAGATTTTTGGGTCGAATTCAACAAGAATTTGTTTTAGTGGCAATTTAAAAAATAATTACCAGCTTCATTTTCTTAACCCCTTTCTGGAGAAACAGAGATTATCACTCGTAAGCAGCTAGTCCGACTCCACCTGACCTTTCGTTAGAGCGGACGGTTTCCTTTCCACCGGCCGTGTATCACATTTTGGAAACCTCCCACGTGCTGCTTACGCTTTGAGTCTATTTCTTGCACGCTGCATTTCCAGAACACATCAAACAGTTTAGATCGGGCCAGACAGGAAGTCAAACATAGAATTAATGTAAAACATCTAGAAACTTTCAAAATAAAAGTCACACACCCATTTCCAGTTGCCTAACTAGTTGAAAATGTATGCCATGTAAACAGAACAGAAAACAATCCACAGACTGTCTTTCTCCTTGCTTGGCTTTGTGTGAACTTCCGAAATCATGCATGGTGTAATAATCCCTTGATTTTGTGACCTCGCTGGTCGCTGTTGGACCTGCTGTTGTGTCCTTAGGCAAGACACATAACCCACCTTACCTGCTGGTGGCGGTTGGAGGGACCGGTGGCGCCTGTGCTTGGCAGCCTCACCTCTGTCAGTGTGCCCCAGGGCAGCTGTGGCTGCAATGTAGCTCATCACCACCAGTGTGTGAATGGATGTATGATACACTGTAGTGTAAAGCACTTTGGAGTCTTCTGACTCTGACAGGCGCTATCCAAGTGCAGGGGTCTCATTTATCAAACATTGCGTAGAATCCTTACTAAAACCGTACTTAAGCTCAGCAAAAAAAAATGTACTTACGGCAAGTAGGTTTGTGATCCATCAAACATGGAGTACGCACAGCTGCACGCAATCTCAGCTTCAAAAATCAGAAACTATCTAGAAAGGTTCTCAGCTGCATTTTAGTCACATCCCGCCCTCACCACGCCCACTTACTGCCATAAATGGTCAATACAAAGTGCCTTGTGGATCTCATGCATGTACATAAGCTGGCTGTTGCAGCATTTCGATCACGACCGCAAATCAAGGAAGCGTTATTTCACAAGCAGAAATTGAGGTACTTGTGGGTGAGGTGGAGAAATGAAAGGAAGTGCTTTTGCAAAACAAATAAGATAAAATCCACGGAGTGGCACAGCGTTAATTCTGAGTTCTTCAGAGAGATCTGTGGCAGATATAAAAAAACGATTCAAACAGGATTTGATCCCCAGACTCCCAGGTGAAAGTCACGCACGCTAACCAGTCAGCCAAACAGAAATCTACCTTGCCCAAGTAGCCAGGGTGCATAATCACTGTCACAGACGCATGACATTCTGTCTCAATCTGTCCCCCTGCT